AAAGCCACTAAATATTCCACAGTTAGTGTTATTTAAGCAAAGTGGAAGTTATTGGTCAAGACAGCAACTCAGTCATGAAGCAGTAGGGTATGTAAAAATCACAGAGCAGGGTCAGCAGATGCTGAGGCGCATAGTGTGTGTGAGGTCACCAACTGGTGGCAGACCTCCTTCAGATTAGCTGAAGAACAGTGCGTATAGAACTTCATGGAATGGGTTCCCATGGCACGCTGCCACTGGACTCGGAACAGTGGGGAAGTTTTCTCTGGAGTGACGAATTACGCTTCTCCGTCTGGCAATCTGATGGATGAGTCTGGGTTTGGCGGTTGCCATGAAAACGGTGCTTGTCTAATTCCATTGTGCCAAGTGTAAAGTTTGGTGGAGGGGGCATTATGGTGTGGGTTTCTTTTTAAGAGGTTGGGCTCAACCCCTTAACTTCCAGTGAAAGGAACTCTTAATCCTCCAGCGACAATTTCATGCTCCCAAGTTTGTGGGAACAGTTCTGGGATGGCCCCTTCCTGTTCCAACATGACTGTGTGCCAGTGCACAAATCGAAATAAAGACAAGAAGGAGTTAATTTGGTGTAGAAGAACTTGCCTGGCCTGCACAGAGTCCTGACCTCAACCCAACAGACCACCTTTGAGATGAATTAGGGAGGAGACTGCAAGCCAGGCCTTCTCATCCAACATCAGTGTCTGACCTCGCAAATGTCATTCTGAGTGAATGATAACAAATTCCTATGAGCACACTCCACAACCTTGTGGAAAGTCTTTCCAGAAGAGTCGAAGCTATTATAACTGCAAAACTTGGCCCAATATATTAAACCCAATGGACTAAGAATGGGATATCACTCAAGTACATCTGCAGATGAGTGAATACTTTTGGGACTATTGTGTATTTGCAAACATATTAACATATTAAAATTAAAATTAAACATATTAAAAGGTAACATGTTTGGTAATATGTAAAGAGGTTTAAATGATGATCATTTTACCAGGGAAGTTTTGTTTACCTATAAGAAGGATTTTAGTGTTTTTCCAGGCATGTCTTTGAAGAGAAACTGGCTACAAATCCCTTTTATTATGAACAGCACATAATGGACGAAGGCTTTTCTATTCCTCACTTTTCCTCTCCTTGTTATTCTCTAGGGATACACAACCTTTATAAAAAGACCTTAGCTGGTCCCTGCTCTGGGTCCCTTCTCTTGATGTTGTGTGAATGAGCCACTGTTCTCTCGGGTTCTGGATGCTGGGATCGTCCCGATCCAAACAAACAGTGTTTGTAGAACATCTTTGTTCTCCTCAACCAGATTTGCATGGTGCAGTATTCTGTACCAGCAGCTTTGGCTCACAAACAAACACACACACACCAGCAACAGCGCTTATATACACAAACACATACAAATATACACATGCATGCACACACTTACAATGATGTTCTGCCTCTGGCTTGTACACAGAAAGCACACATGCTCTCATTGTCTAAAAATGGACATCAATAAATGATTATGCTGTAAGGCAATGTTTAAAAAAAGTTGATATAAGAGGAATATGTAACAAGGTCAGATAACCAGATCACCTCCTTTTAGGTTTTCCCGTCTACAAGCGTAGTATAAGCGATGAGAAGGTTGGTTGAAAATAGCACAAGAAGAAAGTCTGTTGGCCTGTACAAGTGCAGCTTCCAGTAACAGTTAAGTGACTCAGCCTTCTTCACAAATAATCTCAGCGGAGGAAATAATCACTTCAAAAAAAACGTAATTTTTTCATTTCAAAGCAGCTTTATGAAATAGCATTTCAAAGCCACCAGACTATTGATTGTAAATGAAGCCGAATGAGCTGCCATCCTTGAAGTAATGTGTGTGCGAGTGTGTGATAATTCCCAGAAAAGCACCAACAACATCCAACTTGCGTTCAAACCAAATTCTTGAGCAAGTGAGGCTGTGACCTTGATCTTCTTTTTCTCTCGCTCTGTTTTTCTGCAGACTATTCATCTACACTGTGGATTGCGATTAAATGCATCACAAGCTGGGTGTGTTTGAAGAGCTCACACTCTGAACGATGCATTTACAAAGGAAATGCTTCCATAACTCGAAGACAGGGCTTGCCTGCACATGCACGCGCATCTGTGTTTGCACTGATACAAAAAGAGAAAACCAGAAGCACTTGCTGATTAAAAAGTAGCAAATAAGCTCAGTTTTAACAAGACTGCACTGACAAGATGACTGCACACAGAACATTTAAACAAACGCAGCCAGTTATAAGGATGCAGCATACAAACTGACTCTCTGAGTGACCTTAACACTATTAATTTTTAATTCAAGTATATAATTAGCCTTGTTACTGAATGAGCTGTTCAAGTCAGCAGAATTCCAGCTTGAGACATGTTTAGTCAAATGTCTGCAGGGGAATGCCCTCATATAACAACTGCAGACCAAATAATATCAGTAATATGCATCACTGTGTAGGGGGAAACTGCTTAAAGTAGACTCTTGAGTTGTGACCACTCTATAGCTGACATGTGCATGCATTTTAAGCACACATGCATTTACAGTAGCACAGCGCATTGTGCCTTTTCTCTTGAGCTATCTCAGCACTATTGGAGTTGGTGTTGCATTTCAGAAGCGATAGCTGGCTCGATAGCTCATGCCGATGCTGCTGCTGCTGCTCGGATTGGCGTTTCCCTGCAGATGCTGACAGAACACTTTGGGGGGTGTCTCTGCTCCCCACTGCGAGGTCCATACGTGGAAGAAAAGTCCCTCTGGCACCAGACCTGCCTCACCACTGCATTACGGAGACAGGTGTGGTTCTACATGGCTCAACGAGTAGTGCATCAGTGCCGTCAGGGCTGCAGGTTCCATCCTCTGTGAGTCAGCAGAGCACAGACAATTTCAACTACCTTCTGGTGAAACTAATTCTAACAGTCTGCAAAAATGTGTGCTGAAAAGCTGCCGGCAATATGTTTTCTAATGTTCTCCTGCAAATATAAATGTCCTCACTTTCACACCGCCTTCAGAGACTTGCTAACACCACAATACTGCCTGGCAGTTATGTGATCAGTCTCTATAGGCTTCAGGTTTCCTGTGCCCTGCAGGAAAATTGTTACTGTTCAGGTCAGGGGAGAAGTATTCCACAAGTCTTTGATCGTTCAAGCTGAATTTATTTGGCTCATCACAGCAGCAACATTCATCTCTGCCAATTTACTGCTACATTTCAGTGTTAGTGAAAATGAAAGCAAAATGCCTACCTTCCCATCCCCGTCCAGGTCCAATTTTATTTCTGCTGCACGCCTGTAAAGAGGGGATGAGGATGTAGTCGTACTTTATAGCACCATATCAACCTCTCTGACTGTCTTTGTGTCGCCCAGTCTGACTCTCCCTCGGACTCGCGAGTCAATTTAGTCCTGCAGTTAGAGGAGAATCCCTTTATCCGTGGACTACACTTTACGCGGAAGGCACCGACTTGAACATTTCATTCTTGCGTGGAGGCGCCTGCCTGCCGGACCCTGATAAAGTGGAGATTTACTCGCGCACCAAGTGAGGAGCTATCCCTCACACTCCAGCTTACTCGGTCAGTTTCTGAAAGCTCTATGGCCCAGTGATTTAATGTCGTTTCAGCGTCTGGTGGCAGACCTCCTAGCCCCCCACTTGCCTCCCTAAACGAACGAATGCAGGCGCGCACACGCACGCGTGACCACAACCTGTGAAGATAAATAACTTCTGTGTTAATGGGCCGTCAAATTCACAACAGAAAGAAAATTGAAAAATAAAACTGAATATCTAAAACATCCGCAATGGCCGAGATAGTAATCGGTGGCTGATATAAATTCAAAGTCAAATTTAAAAAAAAAAAAAATAGACACTGTAAGATGATGCCCCAAACTCTACATTATACTGTAATATTAAAATTAAACTTCTTCAAGGGAAATGATGTTGAACTTATCAGCTGAGGGGATGTCGTCAGAGGTTATTGCGCCTTTCAGGTTCACGTGGGACCGTGATAATTTAGAGAAGGCTAAACAGTATTCCTTTGACTTGAATGTCAGTATTTGTACAACACGAAGGCTTGGAAACCTACCGAGAGACCGAATCGACATACCTGAAAAGGATATGCGTAAAACGCATCGGTCCGACAGTCAGTGCTTGGACACGCTGGGACGAGAGGGAGACTGTGTTGTCGCTGGTGGTGAATAAAATCTCTTATGTCGTGTAAAACCTCCTTGTAAACTTCTCTCTTGTCATCTTCGGTCTGTGTTCTGTTCATCAAGCGTTATATCTGACCGACCGGCTCGCTTCTTTTGATGTCGGTGGTAGGAGGGTACCCAGAGGCGCGCACTGGGGAGATTCTTCCTCCCCTCTGCCGCTTCAAAATATCCAATTTCACACACTGACTCTCTTTTCTCCCCGCAGAATTCCCTTCTGGAGCAGGTGCAATAATTTCACTGGATCCACCCGGAGTTTTATCAGAGTTAAGAACCCGAATCCATGTCGCATATATGTGTGGTTTCTTTCATGGTTTTGCAAGGTTTGCTATAGCTTTGGTAAGCTCTGAACACAGAAAAAGGGGATATTAACATATCTCATGGCCATTTAACGTTGGTAAGTCATGATATCCAATAAGCTTCAAGGAATGATGACATCAAAGGGTATCTGTTCAGTACTGGAATGACTGCACTTGCGCAATTACGTTTTGGGTTTTTGTTTTGTTTTTTACCTTAGTTAATGACATTTAACTCAGTAAGTGTTGACTCCAAACAGGGCCATTACAGTCATTGATGATACCTTAGACTAAATAGCCTTTATCGTTTAAACTTCGAATTTTAACATTCAATTAATTCCCAGTGTCAAGTGATATGCGATTATTTTTTTATTGTAGTTTTTTAGTTTTGGTCTTCTTCTTTTTTCTTTTTGCAATATCAAATGAGAGAATGGTGTTGAAATCAATACGCTCCGCCATGTGTTCCCTAACTACTCCGTTTCCCATAATCCAATGCAAGTAACGTCAGAATCTCGCGACCGGAGGTGGCTAACTGGAACGCTAGTTAGCTCAATGCAGACTTGATGAGAATTAGAATTTTCTACAGTCGTTCCGCGGCAGCTTCTCCAGTAGTGGAAAGGACGTCTGTCTAGTCTCCACTTTGTACTTGTTAAGCCGGCTAAGCATTTACGGAGGAAGTTTTTATTTGCATTCGCAGGAGAGTTTCCGTTTTCTCACGTGCATCATCAGAAAAATGGAGATTTCTCCTGAGATAAAATCAAACAGCTTTCTGCTGGACGCTTCTCTGCTGTATAAGGATAGCTGCCCGGAGTTATCTCGCTTCTACATGTAAGATACTTCACTATAACCAAACACGAATACCACTTAAAAGTATATTTTACTTGCAGTCCTCTATTGTTGTGATGCTAGCAAGTGGACGCTTGGTGGAGGTGTTCGCCCAGTGTGACCGGGAAAGTTTCTAGCTCGACGATGATGTCAGGGCTTTAGAATTAGAGCTATAATTTGAAAATATCTTTATTGTTTATTTAGAAATATATATATATGTATATGGGAAATTGAAAAGAAATTATGATTGTAGCTATAGTTCCTTATTACTCAGGCTATAGTTTCGCAGTTATAAGGAACTATAGCTTTGTAACTGATGTCCTGTCAATCATTTTGGGATTGGTTGAGCTCTGACGTCTAACATATTAAGCCACTGTTTAATTCTCATTCTTTTTTCACACGTTAATTTAAATAAGAATGAGTTATGTGCTCGTGCTTTCATTGCTTTTTTTATAACTTTTTGTGTTACAGTCACCTCGAGGATAATCGGATCACTGGTGGCTACAGTGAAACTGCAGAAACACATAATACAGTGAAGTCTAAAAAATAAGATGTGGCTGCTGCTTACGTTGGTCTTTAGTGGTGCCTCAGGTGTCAATAGTGTTGAAGTTTTGGAGCATGAATTGTTGTACTTTTCCACTGAAGTTTAGCCTGCTGTAGTTCTTCTACAACAGTGACTTACTGTAGCTGGACATGAGCCCATGTGAGAGTCCCAGCCGTGGCTGCTCGTGTTTGTGGGCAAGTTTGCAATGCCTCAGTGATAGTTTCAATTTAAATGAATTACAGTTTGGTGAAATGGTTTCAATTGGTGAGAACGAGACACCTTCCTAACAAGCTCTGAAATCAAAGCACAAGGAAGTAAACAAAGTGGTGGTGGTGGTGCAGACAGTCCCTCTAATCATCGGGTAAGAGAGCCAGGCAGTATGTAAGCCTCAGCCTCATCCTTGTATGGTTGGTAAACAAACCCAAACAGCCCTGATCCAACATTCCCAAGGTGTCTTATTCTTTTTAGATTCCTGTAATTAAGTCTTTGAATTTTTACTCAGAATTAAACACATTAGTTATTATAGCCACTTTATGATTTTATTCATCATTTACAGTTCACTTCTTGAACTTCAAAATTTTGGTGTCTGATAGCCGTTTCAGACATTGGTGATTGCCGTGTTGTGGTGAAAGCTGGAAGTAATTTCAAGAGAAATCCTCTTAAGCCTTTGTCTGTATGTGTACGTGCACTCAGGCTGTGCCCACCTGCTGGTATACAGACTTTTCTTCTTTATTAGGGTTTAAATTGAGCATTAATGCATCTAAAATGTTTTAAAATGTGCATATGTCTGTGTAGGCTCTTTCCACAATCCTTAGACTGTGCATATATGTGTGGACTCCTGCGATTTGTGCATTAGTTGGGTTTCAGCCATGTCCCTGTGTCCTTTGGCTTGTCTTCTCTCTTACCTGAGCCAGGAAATTTGTGGGCAGAACCATGAATGGAAAGAAAAACAGAGGTTTTAATGGTGAAAACCCCAGTCCGGGTCGTTTTCCGGATGTGTGTGAACCCACTGCTGCTTTAATAACATTGATCTGTTCCCCAGATTCCCCAGCTATGATTAGCTGTGGTATTTGAGAACATTTTGAACACGTTTAACTCTGACCAGCTGTCCAGCAGGCAGGACACAAATCTAAATGTTTGGCTTTGTAACTCAGAGACCTCACTGGTTTTATGCCAAAGTGCCTGGCAGAGAAGACACAATGAACAGCCACTGCCAAAATGTACACTTAGCGCCATGAGCTAATTAAGTGATCCGAGTGATAATATGAGAGGCAGCATACAGGAAGGAACTCATGCTACGAATGAAAGCCTCAGACGCATGCTTTGAATGCACAACTGATCAAACCGTGCACCCACGACAGGAGAGGAACTGAAAATATTTGAGTCGGCATACATTGGTGTACGTGATCAGAGTGCATTGATGTTCTGAATCCTGAGGAATTACGACCATGTCCATGTGTTCCTTTGGGGGTTTCCACTGTCTCCACTTTCTGCAGGCCAATGCGTCACTGGAGTGTTTGTTCTGTGGGTGCGCAATTACTCATACGCTCATACTCCACATATTTGTAGGAGATGGTGTTACTGCCTTCTGGCACAGTCTTTACCTTCTGCCAGGCCAATGACTGAATGAGTTAGTATGTATGTTTGCATGGGGCATTACACCTATTGTTGAATTCGATGTACAAGTACTTGGTGTGCTTATTGTGGCTCACGTTGTTGAATCAGTGAAGCTTTTTCCAGTAAGTTCGTAATGATAGTTGCGTGTCTGGTAACTAGACCTTGACTGGCTGTTCTGATTACCAAAACAAATATGCATGTTGTCTGCTGGACAAACAATTTGGAAACTTGTTTTGGTTTCTTGTTTTGTCTTTTATTGTCCTCACACAGGCCTCACATGGTTTTCAGTCTAGAAGTACAGCTGCAATTGCCGTGTGTTGGTTAATATTATTGGAACTCTTGAGTAATTAGTGTGGGAGAAATATATAGCAAAAGCAAGAGGGCTTCAAGGCATGATTGTTCCTTAATAACTTCTGATTGTTTTCTTCATTTTGGCTGTGACATACCACATTCCCAAAAGAAATCACCTACTTAGTCGGCCTAACAAACCTAATTCAGGACCAATGTAGTCAAAAGAAGGATAATATTTCCATCTGCAGTAGTTTATATTTGGTGGCGTGGCTCTGTCTTGGGACCTCCCTGCCTCTCCATGTGAATATGTGGAGTGCATAAGGCAACTGAGTGTAGGCTGAGGTATCTTTTGATAGAATGCCCTATATCAGATTTGCACATAGATTTGTAGAAGGATATCAGCCACGTGTTGTCAGCTCACCCTGGGATCAACTTATATGCCACATTTGCAAAGTAAACAGAGAAATCTAACCCTCTTGTTTGCTAGCTTGAAGCAATGATTTTGTTGCCTTTTTTTGTTTTTTGTTCACCAGTTGACCTGCCAACAAAGCATTTTTGTTATTTTTATTTCAACTCATATCTGCCATTTCTTGATGTATGCTCTATCATCAAGGTAAGGAAAGGTAAGTCGATTCTGGTCATCTGGACACTGTTTTTAGCGGGAGAAAACGTCTTCAGTGTGGACCTCTTCAGCCTCTTCAGAGCCTCAGCCCCAGTAAGCTGTGTAGGCAGAGATCATCCTCACCGATCTTTGATGCCCACCCAGTCATTTCGTTCTAGAAGCAGGCCTGAAATATGACAAACCTCTCATTAAAAAAAAGAATTATCCAAAGGGCAAAGAATTAAAGGTTAATCCAGATATGCTTGGATTGCATTCTCTTAAGCCTCTTTTTCATTAGTACCTACTCAACTTGACTTGACTCCAATATGCGTAGGGCCATTATAGCAAGGAGGTCGAAAGTCCTCTGACATCATTTGTATACGATACAGGCTATATGTATTGCTTTTTTTCCAGACTCGGTTACCACGGTGTTGTTTTTTTATGTAGCCATTTCCCTCATCGCTGCGATTCAACAGTACCAGTTTGGATTTTTGTCACTCTTATGAGTCCTCGAGTAACTCCACTGACTAGCCAATGCTGATGGACGCCCATGGAACTCCGGGCAAGTGGCTACAAAAAAAATATTTGGTCCTAGGTATTACCACCTAATGGGAAACCATAAAAACAGAGTTGCGCCAAGCCGAGCTATTGCTGACTGTCCTCACTGACCACTCGAGTGCTTAAGTCAAAAAGCTACATTTATTCAAAACACTTTATGAAGCTCACATCCAGAACCGATTCTAGAATCACCAGTTATCCTAACATGCATGTCTTTGGATTGCGGCATGAAGTTCAAATTCAACCATCCAGGAGATTTGAACCCAGTCTTCCTCCTGTAGGGCAGCATCACTAAGCATGGCATCGCTGTCTTGTTAAATTTGTCACTGCATTTTTTTCCTGCTGTTTGTCACCACCTTTTAAAGGCCTTTTCCCCTCTTCCGTTCCCTTTATCCAACACTTGCCCTCATTTCCTCTCGTACTGTATCACTCCTGTTACATCTGCTCTCAGCAGGAGCAAATGATCCTCAGACTGAGAAGGACCTGCAGGCCTCTTTCGCTGTAAGGTCCAGGTGATGAATGAAACCATGTGAATCGGTGCTGTAGAGGGGCACACTTTCTAGAGTATTTCAAGGACTGATTGTGAAGCTGCTACCTGTGCTAGGCCTTTGTGTCTAAATATCTGAATGAGTTACAATCTCCGGTGAAGGTTTTTCAAGATATGCCAGCAGCCCTGTTGTTTTCCCTGATGGTAGCAATAAAAAATTCATAATGCTTTTCATTTCATGCCGCAGACAGCACTTCTGTCTATAATCACATTATTACCTTGTAGCCGACACATAATTTCCCCTCACTGCCCTACTGCATCCTCTAGCGCTTCGTTGATCTCCCAGCTGTCAGCAGTTCATCCGTAGGACGCGTATCTTCAGCGTTTATCGCCACAACCGAGCATGCACTTAAAAGGAGATGCATGACAAGTATGTTAATAAGATTTGCACACTGGAAGCAGTCTTTGCGGTGCAGCCTTTCGGAGAGCTGGCTCATTCAGGAAGCTGTGGTAAGGGAGAAAAAGATTCCCTAAAAACATTCCTCGTCTCCGAACTTGAGTCATTCAGTTGTTTTTAGCAGGCTGGTTGTTGGAGGATTGTCTTTCATCTCATGCCAACAAAAAGCTCTTGCTTTTGTTATCAATATGTATACTGTATAGTGGTGATGTGAACTACCATGGGAAATGTAAATCAACTAACTTCCTGAAAAGGATTTTTTTTTTTTTTTTAAATGTCAGCAGAGAATGATTAAATAGCTTTCCGAACAACTAACTGCATTTCTGGGATTGTTCAAGGTCCATGAGTCATTATCACTTCACAACGGAGTGACAATCCACCACATCGGCCTCATACAGTTTCTCTTCATTTCCTGTATTATCTGCTGACAGGTCGTCTATATAATCTGACAGCTTAATCCAGTCACTGATTATTAAATTGGGGGTAGTATCTAGAGACAGTGATTCAGACTGTGCAGTGACTGATGACAGATATGTTGCAAAGCCCACAGCGTGCTCAGCTGTATCTGAAATCATCCATCAGTACGATGCACCGTTTCACATATGGCGTATAAACAAACGTCTGCCACCAGACGCCGCGGAAAAGGCCCGTAGGTTAACTCCAGATTAAGGCCGACCCCGCGCGCCCTCCTCCCTTTCCATAAACAGACAGCCCTATTTCTGTCTGTCCCTGACACACGTGCAGCCGGACAATAAATGTCCCTTTATCGATTTAAGCCCTGAGCTAATTTTAGTGTGGCTTAGTTGTGACTCAGTTAAAATATCTCATTGCGAGTGTTCCCAAAGCGGGGACAGCCGCATGGGCGGTGAAGCCACTGAATTGGTTTGGAAAGCTGCCTCGTATTGTTTGGGAGAGACCAGTTTTTCCGGTTGCATGTTTTCCACTCCACATAATGGGAATAGATAGTCTTTTTTTTTTTTTTTTCCCGTCCCCAAAAATTGTTTCCATCTTGTAATTTGTGTGTTTGCAAACATCTATTTTATGCAAATATGCAAGCAATAAACGTATTTATTTCAATATTTTCCATCACACTGTCTCTTACCTTGTTTCTTTCACTGGTCCAGCGTTACAGGAGTTGTTGTGATGTAAATTGAGAGGAGCATTTCAGGATACATGTCATGCACGTTAAATGACAAATAAAGTATTTAAAAAATGCACATATGCAAGATGTACATTATTAAAATGATGCCTCATGATCGTGTTGTTGTGTTTTGACATAAACTCGGTTATAATTGAAGTCTCAAACTCGTCTCCTCTTTCTCATTCCCAGGCAGGGGTCTTTGAAGGCTAACGGTAAGTTCACAGAGACGTGAGTCCTTGAACAAACTCCCGTTTCATTTAAATTTCTTCTTCCTGTTTCACTTTTGCATGTTTTCATCAGTTCTGCCCCAGAGTGTAATAAGCACACACAGAATGCAGTAGTAAGTAGGACCTTGTCACTGGCTTGTCAAGGTTGATAAAACTCACTAAATACTCAGAGGCAGCCAGCTGTCTCAAACAGACTGCCCAGTGGAATCAAACACCCACACGTAGACACTCACAGACACACAAACTCTCAGACCCATGCCAGCCGAAACCACATAAAACGGGAGTGGTGCCATTTAGTAAGGCTCCTCAGACTTTTCTCCTTAAATAGCACAAAGACTCGTCCCAAACTAAGTAACGTGGTGTTTGTTTGGAGTTCTATTAAAATGATCACATTTTTCTATGGAAATAGAAATATGGACAATTAAATGATAATTCCAAGATCAAACTATCACCTTTCTGTTATAAATCTCATTTCCTCGATGTTTAAATTGTAAGGGGCCAGTCTCACGCTTGCATATAGTATTGTGCAAAAACCTTGAGCTACCCCTCGCTTCTTTATATTTGGAAATGCTTGTACAATTCTAACGAGTCTGAAAGTCAATATCTGGTGTGATCTCCTTTATTCTTTAACACAACCTGAACTCTTTGAGGTAGCTTTCATTTTTTTTAAGTAGTCTTCAGGAATAAAAACCAAAAAAACAACTAGTTATTGGCCAAAGAAAAACTTTGAAAGACCTTAAGAAAGCCTGGAGAACTATTGCTCAAGAGCACTTTCAAAATTCCAAGAAAATCTAGTTACTTGGAAGATAATGTAAGACAAAAAGGAGGGTGGCTCAAGACTTTCAATTCAATTTATTCAACTCAATATTTATATAGCGCCAAATCACAACAACAGTCGCCTCAAGGCGCTTTATATTGTAGTGTGGACCCTACAATAATACATACAGAGAAAAACCCAACAATCAAATGATCAAAAGACTTTTGTGCAGTACTGTCCATTTCAGCAATTTTTGGTTGTTTGATTGTTATTTTGTTCAAAAGATACGTTTTAGATTGTCTGTGTCTTTCATTTGCTTTCAGGACCTGTGAAACAAAAGTTCTCCAGTATGCTGCACAACACTGGGGTGTGTCCGTACTGTTGCCAGTGGCTCCACCCTGACAATCACCATGTGCGGCTGAGGCCCAAGCAGCGTCCATCAGCACGGGTGAAAAGTGTCCTGCTCAGGAAGGCCAGAGGCAAACGGCTCAGCCTGGTGCAGAAAAACCTGCTGTGCCGCTTCCAGAAGTCCTCGTCGGTACTGGTGAGAAGGCAAACAAACTACAAATCTAAGCACCTGATTATGTGTTTTACTGCACTGCAGCATATTGTTCAGGAGTACAATGGAAGTGACAATTCAAAACCAAGGCAACACAAGGTGCTTTACATAAAACATGCAGGGCCAAAGGAACATAAAAGAAAGGCACACATGTATTTACAAAGAATAAAAAAATAAGAAAGCACCAAACACAAGAGTAAACATCACGGACGAGTCCAGTGCAGTGCGAGATATAAAGAAATCTCTCCAAAAAAGAAGGCAACGCATGGCAAACATGGATTTAAAAGAGCAGAGCACACCTCTGGTTATGTCTGGGAGTTTGTTCTGGTTATATGGTGCATGCTTCTCCGTGTTGAGTCTTCACTCGGTTTAACCAAGTAATCCCAGCTTTAAGGCTGAACAGTTTCCTCAGCTGTAGTGATGTTAAACTAAAGGTCAGTAGTTATTTTGTGATATGTGGGATAGCTGCTGATATGTGATTTATTTGTGAAATATGTATTTTTTTTAATTGTTGGTAATACGGCTGCTTCTGATAACCCACCATATTCTAATGATTGTATTCTCTTAAATATCACTTGGACTTTAGTGTGGACTTGACTGCTTATTCTGTAGCTATTATTGACCTCAGAGCATAAATGAGCCAGGGGAGATCTACACTGCCCTGCCTCTCGCTTTTGTAGAGCGAGAGGCAGGGTACACCCTGGACAAGTCATCCGTCTGTCACAGGGCTAACACAGAGGGACAGACAACCGTTCATCCTCTCATTCACACCTACAGCCAATTTAGCATCACCGGGTTTCCTAACATGCATGTCTTAAGATTGCGGGAGGAAGCCAGAGTATCTGAAGAGAAACCTCACAGACACATGAAGTACAGGAAAACTCCACAAGAAAAGCAGAAGCCTGGATGCAAAAGAAAAAGAATGATCAGTTTATTATAACTTAACTAGTCCTGCATTGTCTCATAATCGATTTTTTGAGCCATTTTTGCCATTTAAATCGATGAAGTCATTAGTATTCATTCCACAGAAAGTGTCTGGTATCATTATGGTGCTCCACTTACTGCTCCAGCCTTACAGTTGTCCCATTAGGCTTAACTGTAAGAGCTAATGTTGCTAGAGAGTGCTTTGTCAACATTCACTCTGTTCACCCCACAGTCCTCTCCCAAATTGTTATAGTGGTCCCCTTTGTCTGTCGTCTTAATGGATGGCACCAAGCAAGAATAAAATGTAAAAACAGATTTTGGCCAGCACACACCCACTCTACTGATAAACCCATTTAGATGAGGAAGCTAGTGATGGAGCATGCAGCTATAGGGTCATTTTCCCCAGCACCGGTGATAGCACTGAAGAGCCCCTCTAGCGATCTGACATCAGCCTAATGAAGAGCAGCTTTAGTGGAAATGCTGCTGCATCATTAAAATCTGGTCTTTTGTTTCATTTAGTATGCAGGTATTCACGACACAAAGCACTTTGAACCCACTCTCCACTTTGTATCTGTTGACTCTGAGGGCTAAGAGGTAGATAGAGAATGAGAGCGGTAGCAGGATTAAAAAAAAAAAGAAAGATAGTGAGAGGAATAAATGCAGAATGAAGTTGGAAATATTAAAAGGGGCAAGAGGGAGAAAGGCAGGTAGATGAGGTGAAAGGAGTCAAATCATGGACTGCAAACAGAGCTGGGACCTTGTGTTATAATTTCTAATGCAGCACTTCTACTTTTAAGGGCTGTTGTGAAGGTGAGATTGGGGGTCTGATAAAGAGATTTATCAGATCCTGGATCAAGGAAGGATATACAACATGATAGTAAGGTGAACAAGCTATACTTGCTATACTTGTTAGATAAAATAACAAGAAAAAAATAAAGGGCTGGGCACAATGTCTGTGTAGGTTTCTGCGGTAGTGTCTGTGGTAGTCTTAGGAGCTTGAAAAGAACTATCACGCCATGTTAAAAAGCTCAAATCAAACTCAAGTCATGCTCAAACTGGTTTCTTTAACATGACAATTAGTTCACTGTATTTTAATGGCCTCCAAAGCCAGCGCATGGGTCGGGGGATCATGGATCTGCTGTCACACATGTGGTCCAATCAGTCCCAGACATCCTGTCCTTAAGCGTGTGTGGCTCCCCTGTTATTAAACTCGTAGCTAAACAGAACTATGCTGTGTGTTTTATACTGACGGTCACTCTTAAAGACATTGAGCCGTGATTATTCACGTTTCCGCCGACTCATTTGTCAACAGTCATCACAATGAACAGCGTGGATGTTTGTCCATCACATGACTTCCTCGTAAACCAATACGGTGCCAAGAATGTCCTCCAAGGTATTTTTAACCTCTGTTTTCATGGTCACTAGCCTGCCCAATGTTCAGGAGACAGCAAGTCAAGCCACACATGCGGGTCATGATAGACTTGTGCTCAGTAAAAGGGCGATAGCAAGCTGATATGCTTAAAATGCACATTGATAGAGTCGTGACGATAAGAGGTGGAATGTGAAAAGCTTCCTTTGCTTTTCCTCCTTGACACGACGCTGATGAAAAGAGCAAAGCAGCTCTGACAGGAAGAAGGGCTCAGCACGAGCTTGGATAAAAAGATTGGCATCCACTTGGTTTCACAGTTAGAGCATAAAAGGGGAATCATTATTTTATTATTTTTCAAATGCATGAAAAATAATCCACAGAATGAGAAATGAAATGTGTCACAGTGACCATTGAATTTGGCACCTGTTGTTGTTGTTGTTGTTTCATTTTTTAATTGCTTCATTTCAGTGGGCCAGAGTCAAGTGTTATGGCTGTGTACACAGTATATTAGTCTCCTCTTACGGTCAGCCACGTAAGTCTGTTGTGTAAATTTACCTTTGTGTGTTTTTTTTATCTTGAGCAGGAGACAGGTGTTTATTTTAAACAGCGTATGACTATTTGTAGATGCAAAGACTCATTTCTCTTGTGCGCTCATTTGTTTTCAGAAGCATCAGAACAGTTACGGGGCCTTTTTGTGGATGAGATTTGTTGTCAATAATGTCAATATTTTTATCGATCTTTTATAGTTTCATATTTGCATTTCTCTAACTTACCTGCATTTAGAAAGTCTTTGCACGAATTATCAGTTAAACTCTTTAACATTGAAGCAGTGTGAATAATCCTGAACATGCATGCTCCACCCTATGTGCATGCTTCACCCTATGTGCATGCTTCACCCTATGTGCATGCTTCACCCTATGTGCATGCTGTGCCCTATATGCATGCTGCACCCTATGTGCATGCTTCACCCTATATGGATGCTGCACCCTGCTGTAATAGGTGCCATTTTCAATGCACATGCCTTAAAACAGTGTATTTTTGCAGTAAATTTAAAAGAGCAGCTTTTCTAGCTAAAATGTAAGCATGCAAACATCAGAAGGGACCACTGGACCAGTAAATACAAATTTATAGTCATGCACACAAGCGATTTGCAGCGTTTATACTCCAGGGTGTAAATCCCCTTGATTTCACACTGTATTGCTATTGCCGTTTGGGGTGTGTGTGTGTGTGTGTGTGTGTGTGTGTGTGTGTGTGTGTGTGTGTGTGTGTGTGTGTGTGTGTGTGTGTGTGTGTGTGTGTGTGCTGCCCTTGTGGTGGGATGCCAGTGCATGACAGGCTTTCCTCAGCCCTGTGAAGTTGTCTTAGTGCTGCGATAAATCACTTTGTTTATGCGTGCTGAGCGGGTTATCCAGCAGTGGATCTGGGAATAGGTTGGATGCAGCGCCACAAAAGAGGCAGAGACCCTAAATGGAGCGAAGAATAGCCTATTGTCCTCCTACATTCTTCTCTTCTTCCTCCTTGAGTTTAGTTTTAGACTTTCTATCAGAGTTGCTTGTCACAAGGAAAATGTATTCTGTGCTTTCATGTTTTTTCGGGTGATTAATGCATGTCTGCATTAGGAAAAATATTTCTGTTGGTCCTTTTATTCATTCTCATTCAGTTCGTTTTCAGAATACAAGATGAACCAGATATGAAGGAGCAAAGTGACAGATCATAGGTCTTTCTGTTTTTGGCACATTGCACACGGAGCCATCTTTCTGATGCGACTCAAATCTGTGATTTATTTTTTAAGTCACCACTTCTTCTTGACCTCACTGACCAGCTCTCATCCTAGTACCTTTACACACTCCAGTCTCTCTTGTTACTTCTCTCTTAAGTTCTACCTCAGCTCATCTACCCGACCACAATCTGACCTCTCACATTATGCTTTCTCCATTTCTCCTTCCTTTCTTGGCCATGTCTTCACCACATTTCGCTTTCATTTATCTTTAGTGGAAAATGTGCCGCTTGAGGCCATGACAGGAAACAGGAGGCAGCGATGTCTAGCTGGTGTTTTGCCTGTTTGCTGTCAGGGAGCAGAAAAGGCTCCGCTGAGGGGGAGCAGGATTACAAGAGGGGAACAAATATTGAGAAAGACAGATGATTAGAGATGAAAGCATTTTTTCGATACAAACAGAGGAGTCACAGTGGGAGGTGGAAACACTCACTCACTCTTGTGCCACGTGTGTGGGTATTTAAGTAAAGCACTTGAAATATGTTAACATCTACATACTGTACGTAGCAATGGCAGGAGTCACGGGAAACTGATGCCAGCTGAACTGACATCCTTGAAGAGCAAACGAAAACCAAAATATGCATAATGTAACATACAGTTTAATTATTTTAAGCATCCACACTTTCTTCTCTCCACTGTCATCATGTCTGTAGTTGAGTACACATGCGGGATAAACCCCATATAGAGAACTTAAAGTGGTACCACTGCAGCATGTCATCTCTCAATTAACGTCTTGATGCAACTATTAAAAAGTCTGCTTTGGAACTTGGCGTTCCCTCTGTTCGGCTTTCGCATCCTCACTCACCACAATTTGAATCATACGCTTTCTGAAATTGAATCTGTCAGCACGTGTGCGCATTAATGGCATTCGCTGCATGTCTTCTGTAAAGCCAAGTACGGGCCATTCGTCATCTCTAT